GGGGGGGTTGGAATAAATGGGGTGGGGTGATTCTTCTGCACACCCAAGCACACACCTGCACTAGCTGTTGCTGCTCCTCAAGCTAAAAGTGTCCAGCCTTTGGGGCCCTCCTTGTGCAGGGTGCATGCCCAGTGTGGGCTCTCTTGTGCCACCCTCACACAGTCCCCTGATAAAGGAGGTAGATTGCAGCTTGACCTCTTCTACCTGCACCTTCCCAGCTCCAGAACCAGCAGTGTCCCTGTGAACAAGGACCCTGGCATGGCAGTTTAGGCTTGGCCACCTTCTACAGTGTCTGAGGCTCAGAGGAAGCTCACACACCTTTGCCACTCCCTATGGTGGGAGGCAGGCTGTCCCCACCCCACTGATCTCCTCACCCGGGAGCTCAGAGACAGGCCCACCATCCACCTCCCAGGCCGGTGCCCACTCCTGTCACCTCTGTGCTCCACAGTGAACCTCTTAAAAATAGACCCTCCTTGACTTTGGGGTAGACTGGTGGGGGGGAAGGGAGGGGAGGGAAACACCACTCAACCCCTGAAAAGAGGAAGGGCCTTGCCATTCTGCCAACACCTCAGCCTCCCTCCCTGTCTTCTGCTTTTACAGACCTGGGGAGGGGGATGACACACCTCTGCGAGGCTGGTGGTGGGGGAGCTGAGGGAAGTGACCAGCCCCAACATGAACTGTTTGAATCCCTTTTGTAATCAGTGCATATGGGAAATGTGTGCAGTTTTCTAGAATTTGGAGCATAGTTTTAACATTTTAGTTATTTATAGGAATTTACGATTGCCGTAATTGTTTTTATGACACATTTTTGGTGATAACTGATGTTATGCAAAGATTCTGCTCATCTCTAGTGGGTTTCGCAGGCCTGGGGAATGTGGGGAGTCCTCAAGGACCCTAGGAAAAACCCTCTGCTCGGTGGAAGAGCCCCTCCCACAGGCTCTGAGAGGGCCCAGAGCAGCGTCTTTAGTGCGGGGAGATACCAGCCCATGCCACAGGAAGGGCTAAGTCATCTCCCTGCGGATTTGGCCAAGGATATCAGTCATTTGTCAAGAGCTGTTGCTGATGAGCCCGCCAGGCTCCCGGTGGAGAAAGCCCTCTATGCAGACCCAGAACGGCTGAGAGCCTTAAGAATATGCCTCTTCACCAGGGAAATAATGCCTCTGCTTCCAGGGTCCCCTTCTTAAGCAGGCATCTTAGATGGCCCATGTGCACAAAGCTGTGGTGTCTCCTACAAGTAAAATTAGACTCTCAGGTCCCCAGTGTGTGGTCCCAGCAGTTGTCCCCCTTCTCCCCATGACCCTCGTGCCCCCTTCAAGCCCCTCCCCATCCTCCTGAGGTTGGCCTGGCCTGGGTGACATAAGCATTCTCTCTCCTCTGCCCCTCACCATCCCTTAGGCCTACAGAGACCTCTGAATGTGGGCTGGCTGGCTGCCTCCCTCATTAGGCAGAGGGTCCCGAGTTCTTAGCTGGCTCAAGAGCCCCTCAAGTGCCCGGCCATGCCTTAGCCACCTGCCACCTTGTGTCTGAGGATGATGAACATGGATGGTAGTAACCATGAGCCAGTTGACTTGCTACCATTGCTGGCTCATTAAGGCAAACTTTTCTTCTCTCTTGTTCCTCCTTTCCCCTTCTGGGCCATTAGAGCCCCCACATCCAAGGGAGGTTATGGCTTCGAGTTATTTGCAAAGCTTAACGTTGAACTTGTGTGTTTTAAAAGCACATTCTTCTTGCCAGCAGAGACTGGTGGGGGTCGACGAAGGAGATGAGAGGGAGTTTGCATATGGTTCCATGGTAGTGAAACTACCTCCACGCTCTACTTTAGCTAAACTCTAAAGTTCTGTTTTTCTCTACCTGCTATCTTAATTCTTTGAAGTCAACATCCCGATGACTCTGTGTCTGCTGTGGCACTGATGGTCTGCCACACTCAGCACCTATTCCCATTCTGCAGATGAGCAAACTGAGGTTCTCACAGTCTAAGTAACCCATTAAAGGTCATACAGCTACTAACTAGCAGAGCCGAGGTTGAAATCAGCTTTGCCTGGTTATTAAGCAAAGACTTTTTTCCTGTGCCTGTCACCACCCTCTGGGACCCTGGCCTCCTTCCCTTTATTGGTCACATCCGTCCTTCTCTCTCCCCAGTGATACTCTGAACATTGTGGCATCAGATCACCGGCCTTTCACCACAAAGCAGAAGGCCATGGGCAAGGAGGACTTCACCAAGATCCCGCATGGAGTGAGTGGCGTGCAGGACCGCATGAGCGTCATCTGGGAGAGAGGCGTGGTATGTTCTTGGGAGCCCCTCCCCATCCTGGTCCAAGTAAGAGTTTCACCCTTAGGAGGGCTGGGTCAACCACAACTCCTTGTTTCACTCAAAAACAGAACCAAAAAGATCTTTTTTTCCTCCCCAATCAGAAAGGTAATAAGGCCTACTATAGAAATTTGAAAAATACAAAAAAGTATCACAAAAAAATTTTTTCCTAATTCCATACCGAGAAATTAAATTTACTATTTTAGTGTGTTTCTTCCTAATTCTGTGATGTACTATTCATTATTTTAATAACTGGATTCATCCCTTGTTTTTCATACAACGTATCTTGAGTGTCTTCCTCTATCAGTAAAAATTCTTTAAAAACATCTTTTGTAATGGCTAAATAATGTTTTCTCCAATGGAAGTACCATACTTCAGTTAATCCTTCCCTGATGGTTGGAGCTTTCGGCTGTTTCAAATTCTTGCACTTAAAAATGATACTGCAGAGAACCTCTTTGTTCATGAGTATGTGTCAGCATTTCTGATTTTTTCCTGGGGACAGATTCCTAGAAGTGGATTTCTGGGCCAAGGGGTGTGAACATTTGTAAGGCTTTTGATATCTTTTGTTCGGTTACTTTTCAATAAAGACAGGGACTGGGATTTGTTAGCATACCACCTGTTCTGCCCGGGGAGAATTTGTGTTGCTGGTCTTGACCTATCACAGACTAGAAGCAGTGTACAATATGAGTCCAAGGAGGTGTGATGTCTTCAAGACCAAGCCACCAGCTCAGGGAGGACCCACGAGGTGCCTCAGAATCCTCTCTGAAGAGAGTACATGGTGCTGTCATGGGTGGGTGGGTAGGGTGATAAGATGCTTTTCTAGGTCACAGAATATATGTCCCTCTGTGGGTGAGGGAGGCTCCTGACTCATGCACAGTGGGCACATGAGCGGAGCTGGGTCTACAATCAGCAGGTAGGTTCCCACCAGGTAGGCAGCTCTTCGGAACAAGGGCCCACTCACTGTTGCTGGATGAAGAAGAAAGAAGTGAGTGCCTGCTACCAAGCCACGCAGGTTGGCTCATCTAAAATGGTGCCCATGGTGTGTCCACCTCAGCACAATGGTGGTTCTGACCAACTAAAGGCCAGAGGCCAGAGCCGAGGATGACGAGGGGCTGGAGGCACATGGGGCTGGATGACCTGACACTTCTACAATTCTGCAATGTTTCAGGTTGGAGGGAAGATGGATGAGAACCGTTTTGTGGCCGTCACCAGTTCCAATGCAGCGAAGATCCTCAACCTGTATCCCCGCAAGGGCCGCATCATCCCGGGAGCCGATGCCGACGTGGTGGTGTGGGACCCAGAAGCCACAAAGTAAAGCCTGCTGCTGGTCTCCAGAGAGAGGGGGCTTGGGATGTTAAGGAGCTTGTATTACAGAGCTCCAAAAGCATACCATCTTTGCACTCCTTCTAGCATAGAGAAGTGTGACCCTGAGCATCTTCCCTTCCCTCTGAGCGTCACCCCTTCCCTCTGAGCACCACCCCTTCCCACTGAGCATCACCCCTTCCCACTGAGCATCACCCCTTCCCACTGAGCATCACCCCTTCCCACTGAGCATCACCCCTTCCCACTGAGCATCACCCCTTCCCACTGAGCATCACCCCTTCCCACTGAGCATCACCCCTTCCCACTGAGCATCACCCCTTCCCACTGAGCATCACCCCTTCCCACTGAGCATCACCCCTTCCCACTGAGCATCACCCCTTCCCACTGAGCATCACCCCTTCCCACTGAGCATCACCCCTTCCCACTGAGCATCACCCCTTCCCACTGAGCATCACCCCTTCCCACTGAGCATCACCCCTTCCCACTGAGCATCACCCCTTCCCACTGAGCATCACCCCTTCCCACTGAGCATCACCCCTTCCCACTGAGCATCACCCCTTCCCACTGAGCATCACCCCTTCCCACTGAGCATCACCCCTTCCCACTGAGCATCACCCCTTCCCACTGAGCATCACCCCTTCCCTCTGAGCATCACCCCTTCCCACTGAGCATCACCCCTTCCCACTGAGCATCACCGCTTCCCTCTGAGCATCGCCCCTTCCCTCTGAGCATCACCCCTTCCCTCTGAGCATCGCCCCTTCCCTCTGAGCATCGCCCCTTCCCTCTGAGCATCGCCCCTTCCCACTGAGCATCGCCTCTTCCCTCTGAGCATCACCCCTTCTCACTGAGCATCACCCTTCCCTCTGAGCATCTTCCCTTCCCTCTGAGCATCGCCCCTTCTCACTGAGCATCGCCCCTTCCCACTGAGCATCGCCCCTTCCCTCTGAGCATCGCCCCTTCCCACTGAGCATCGCCCCTTCCCTCTGAGCATC